TGCCAACACATTACAGACCCCAAATGAATGATTTAAATGTGCAAAAGAAGGATTTAAAACCATGATATGTCTCCTTTAACGTTAGCAGATTTAAGTGGAAGCAAAATGATCTCCAAAGTTAGCGTAGTGTTATTTGTTAAATGAAAAGTTTAGTTGTTAGTGGATTAGCAGAACTGTGCCCACTGTAAGACAAAGGAGTGTATTGATACTTTTGTCTGTACCTTCAGCAAAATGTCTCATAAATGACCAAACAGATTTTAATTAAGCCGTCACAAAGTGACTATTAGGTTGACATCTAAACAGCAAAACAATCTTAGCCCAACACAAAAATGGCTTCAGTACTGCTAATTTTACTGTTGTTGAGAAAATGTGTTTGATGTGGTCGTAAACCAGAGTGACACAGTCAAGATAAAGCTGATTTGAATCTTTTGTACCACAGACAAAACTATTAATTATTACTGTAACTGCAGACAACTCATAGGTTTTTATAAGTTGTGGTTTGTTTTTAATATTATTGCTTGCTAAATAATAGCAAAAACGTGTTTTTCATGATCCTGTGTACTTTTTTATACGTAATTACTTCATGCTTTAAAAAAATCTGATAAATGATGTTTGCCAGACATACAGTATGTTTGATTACTTGAGGCCTTTAGGAGCCCAGCCAGAATCTGTTGCATGTACCTGTGAAGATGTCTGGACCGAGGGCAGGAGAACAGCCATCTTTGCCGTTGCACAGCTGCTGCGAGGAGGTGGAGTTCTGAAGCTGCTGTATGGACAAACAGTCACTTAGGATGTCCTGCTCCAGGTGAGGACAGGGCCTCAGCTGAGAAACGCACCAACAGAAACAGACAAACATTAAAATCTTAAAAGAAATGAAGACGTTTCAAAATAAATCCACATGCTGTTTCTGATTACACAACCTGAAACACAAAATAACTTCAGCTTTGTCCAGTTGTTCAGGTCAGATTCTTTGGGAATTGTTGTGTTTATGAAATGTGATTATGGTTTTAATATAAAAAAGTACTGGGAAAATATGGTTCTTAATAAAAAGAAAGAAAATAGAAAGATTATGTTGTTCTTTTCTGAGTCATATGCTGACCTTCAGCATTATGGGTAAATTATCACTGTACCAACTCTTAGCCAATCTGAGATTGCTTCCGTTTCTCTCATTGCCAACAGTAAGAAGGGCAACTGAAAGCACATTTCAGATGGAAATTATATTACACAGCACAAAGAGAAGCTTAAGTCCAAGAAAACTTGAAATGCAATCTTTACATCTGAACAGAGGCTGACCAGCAATGAAAATCTGTGCAATAAAACATTACAGTTGCTGATACTGTCCGAAAACCATAGATTTTCTTGTCTTCAGTAGATTTTACTTCAAAGACCCTAAAAAGTCAGGACAAAATGTTTTGTTGTTAATTATGTGACATGGGCAGAAATACATTAATTTTTAACAAACAATATGGTCAWAGAGAACTCCAATATCCAGTTGGTAGGGATGTTGCCTACTAGCCAGAAGGTTGCTGGATCAAATACGAGCTTGGGTACATTTCTGGGTGGAGTTTGCATGTTCTCGCTTTTCATGCATGGGTTTTCTCTGGGTATTACGGTTTCCCCCCACAGACCAAAAACATGAATGTTACCCTCAATTAACACTGAATTCGGTTCCACTCCGCAGTAAATACACACCCATTATAACCAATGAGAGCATTTACACTGCATCGGCACAGCAGCAGCCTGTGCATGGCAATCTGACAAAGTTAAGATTAAATCCTATTATTCCCAGACACCAGAGCAAGTGTGAGGTCAATCTACGAAGATCACCAACGGGAAAAGGAATGAGCGCAACATCTAAATTTTCTAAATAATTCACCAAAGACAGACTACGTCTTGCCAAAATCCTAGCTTTACTAATAAATATTTGGGTATTTATATATACTGTGTATATATA